GTGTGTGTGTGTGTGTGTGTGTGTGTGTGTATGTGTGTGTGTGTGTGTGTGTGTGTGTGTGTGTGTGTGTGTGATACACATCCCTACTAATATATAATTGTAAAGTGCAATCTTGAACATATGGGTCTGTGTTGTATTGCTGAACTGGCTGCACTAATTCTCTCTCATTTTTCATTCAACAATGGTCTATTCTTTGTAGCTGCACTGTTGAAGTGGTGCAATAAGTTAAAGTAAAACAAATATAGGTTTCACTCAAACTTATGGCACCAGTTCTACAATGCAGCTACAAAGAACAGACCACAAATTTTATCTGTATATCCGTCTCTTTGTAAGTTTCCAAAGTATACACTACTTCAGCTATACAAAACAGACCCATTGTTCGATATAAAATTTTTACTATTTCTTATAAAGTACAAAATTTCATTGCAGATAAATTGTTGCAACTCAATTTTTTTTCAGTTACACATTTTACTTACTTCTCTATTTTTCTTGATATTCGGTTCTTTATTTTCTTCGTCACTGGACTCATTGACATTACCGGTTTCAGAATACTGCAGTTTTGGTATTCGCACTCTTTTTCCTGATAATAAATCTTCTTTTGAATCTACACAATAATTAATTATTATATATTAGGGTACGCAATCATAATTGAGTTTTACTGAATTCATTAAGATTCGAGTACTTATTCCTGAAGGCTATATAAAGGCTACATAAATAAAGGTAAAAGTCGAGGCGTACAAGCTTCTCGCTGCAAGTCTAGTTGTTCATCCTAAGATGTACAGAGACGACTAACCACACTTATTCGAGGCTGTGCTTATGAAATAATATATTATACTACTTTTATACACACCTGCAAGTTTTGATACCTGGCACGGTAGTTTTTGCCCATTATGATATATATAAAACACTTTTCTTTTAGCTTCCTCACTATCATCAAATCGGTTACATTGAAACTTTAAAATGTCTGTCGTTTTAACTTGAAGGTGCTTTTTGGTTGTAATAAGAAATACGTGTGCCCACGTTTTACTTTCGACTCGCAAGTAGTCATTGTCTTGCTTTGATCCCGCTGCACGTCTTGTTGACATCTTTTGTTCACTGTCACTTTCTCCTATTGCGGCAAAGAGGAAAGTGAGGAGAGTATCTTGTCTTGCGTCTTTTCTGTTCACTAGCTTTTGTCCATTGTCTCTGGGGGTGCGTTTGGGGAGCTCGCTATTAGCGCTATTCAGCGCTACTGTGTTATTCTATCTTTGTTGTATATCTAAGGAGCGACAAAGATAGAAGAACATGGTAGCGTTGGTAGCGTGCTTCCCGAACGCACTCAGAGTGAATCAGATGGTGCGTTAGGCTGGAGTCCCATGGCATGTATTTTCCGCGTATCGCGTAAGCGCGTAACCAATAGATTTCGACGTTTAGTATTTCTGTTGGAACTTCTAAAAGAATAGAAAGATGTGATTGGTTACGCGGTTACGCGTTACGCGAAAATACGTGCCATGGGACTTCACCCTTATACATGTGCGGAATGGAACCAACCAATGAGCACTATTCTGCTCTTTTCCGAATACCGCTGATTGGTTGATTCTATAACACACTCTGTATTCCGCATTTCTATTGCGCACCGTCTGATTTTACTTTGTCTCGAGATTTCGTAGAACGATATTTGTGCTAGTTTCCGCCGTGACACGCACAGACGTGTTCGAACACTTTCGGGCCTAATTTTGTGCAAAACGTAGCTCGGTACCTTGGACGAAAGGACAATCCATTTAGAGTCTGCATATCCAAGTTAAATAAAGAGAGAGAGAGAGAGAGAGAGAGAAAGAGAGAGAGAGATATTTGTGTTTCATAGTTTATACAATTTTTACGTGAACAGTTTCGTGATAAATAATTCATCTATGCAAAACGCCATAATACTTTCTCTGGGACGGTGACAGTTATTTCCGAGAACCGCATTAGTTTCGTTGCGGCAATTATTTATGCGACAATCATCTACTGTCGTATAGAGGTTATGTGCATAATTTGTAGCGGCTGTGAATTCTTATCTTATAATCAAATTATTAAATAAATATATTGATGGTTTTTAAAAGACAGAATAATGTACCATCAATATTTATATCCAGGCTCCACTCAAGAGATTCCACGGACAACAGCATACCGGAAAAGGAAACGTCAAGAACAGAGCAGGAGTGAAATAAATTATGAGGTTAGCATATATATATGTGAAAACTTATAATTTGTGGAAAAATTAAGATAATCGAAAGCTACTTTTAGTTCATAAGTGTGATACAAACTATATAACGTAAATTTGTCTTTATATATTTTGCACTTATTGTACTATCATCTTCAGCATTACTTTTGTATACACAGATACCTTGTTTGAATGACTTGGCATATTATGATATTGAAGATGACGACAGATTATGCGATGAACAATTATGTATTAATGATGATACAACAGGAGTTGCCAATAACGATGTATCAAACGATGTAAGTATTGATATATAGAAAAGCTTTCATGTAACATGTAAAATGTATAGACAAAATTGACAGTATAATATTATACTGTCAATGTTGTCAATAAATTTTGACAACAACTATAGCGATAACCACATTTATCCTCTTTACTTAAATAAGTAAAATTGAAATTATAAAAATTGACAATTTATTGTGACAACCAATCATCAGCATCAAGTTTCAAATTCATTCTTGCATAACATTGTTAATGTATTTATTGGTGTAGGCTTCACTTAATTTGGACGAATCAAATGGTAATATCCAGGATGGACTATTAGATGAGGAATTATTTGATGAGGAAGACACAATGACCGTTATTGATGCTAATAACGATATACCAAATAATGTAATTGAAAGTTTGCCATTATTAATTTCAAATATGTATGAAAGTAATTTTCAGTATTATATAAATGGAATTTGGACGATTCTGAACAATTTTTTGCATTTTCAAAGTTCTCCTCATTTTAAATCATTCATTATATTATATACCATTTTATTTAAACATTAAACAAATTATTACATATCTGATTTTCTATGCAGGGGGACATTTTGGGTCAAGATGGACGATCCAAAAACTACTTGAATGAAAAACTGTGCAATTGTACATGTACAACAAAAGGAGAGGCAGTATTAATGGCGCTACATCTTGCGAAGCGTCATTCACTTACTTGGGTAGCTGTACTTGATATTCTAAAAATGTTAAATAAGCTGTATGACGACGACATATTACCAGCATCTAAGTATACATTATTTAAAAACTTTTCGGTACAAGACATTTCGTATAAATATCATATATTCTGTACGAATTGTGAAACGTACCTTGGCATTCGAATCAACTTAAAAACAAATGAATTATTTACGTGCAATAATTGTTGTGCGACATTCCATGAGCAGTCAGGTTCATATTTTGTAACTTTAAATTTAACTGCTCAAATCCGAAATTTATTGAATGATCCAACTATTCAACAAAATATTCAATATCGATTCCAACGAACAAGAGAGGTTGATGTAATGTCGGATATATATGATGGGGCAGTATATTCGAGTCTTGAACGTCCGGGACAACCGTTACATGATAATTGGAATTTATCCTACACTTTCAATACTGATGGATGTCAGCCCAGTAAATCTAGTAAAATGTCCGTTTGGCCTATTTATGTAATGATCCACGAATTGACACCGGAATTGCGAAGTAAGCATATACTTTTAGCTGGATTATGGGTACATAAAAATCAGCCTAATATGAATTTATTTTTGAATCCGTTTATCACCGAGGCGAATGTGCTTGCAACCGAGGGAATTAAATGGCACTATAACAACCGGGAAATAATAACGAAAGTTTTACCGATATGTTGTTGTGTCGATTCCGCTGCCCGATGCACTCTTCTTTGCATGAAAAAATTTAATGGTTCATATGGCTGCACATTTTGCGAACACCCGACAAAAAGTGTCAATGGTTACACAAAATATCCTATATCGGTTGAGGTACCTCCGGATAGGACTGATGAAACTATTCGAGAAAGCATGATGAAATATTTGACAGATAATCCGATACCTAATGATAATACGAAAGGTGTTAAAGGTCCTTCTGTTCTTATGAATTTGCAACACTTTGACATGGTCAAAGGCATGGTACCGGATTACATGCATTCGATATTATTAGGTGTAACTAAATTTCATACAGAGATTCTGCTTACCTCTATAGGCGAACCATATTATGCTGGATCACCAAATAACATAAGAATTATAAATCAGCGCTTGAATGCTATTGTTCTTCCTTCAAGTATTACTCGATCGCCAAGAAGTATCAATGAACGTCGTCTGTGGAAAGCTTCGGAATGGCGATCTTGGCTTATATGGTATTGTTTAATATGTTTAAAGGGTGTGTTACCGAAAAAATATTTATCGCACTTGGCATTACTCGTTACTGCGATACATATTTGCTTACAAACATCGATAAGTTATAATATGGTGAATAAAGTTAACGAACTATTGTTAAGATATGTCATACAAATGCAGAGTTTCTTTGGAGAGCATGCCATGAGATACAACGTTCATTTACTTCTACATATACCTTCAAGTATTATGAATTGGGGACCGTTGTGGACGCACAATACGTTTAGTTTTGAAAATGAGAACCGTTTAATTTTGCAAATGAAAACCAGTCCGCACCGCATAGCGGTTCAAATTGCATGGCGGTATTTTTTCTATAACTCATTATCATTATTTGAGAATAATATTACAACTGGTGAACGGTACAATCAATATTGTGATGAAATAAATGTAAAACAAAAATTGAAATTTGTTTCAAAAGTCGGTGAATGTACTTTGATAGGTTCAGGAAAAGAACATGCTCTTTTACCTACTGAAGCAGCTTGCTTGTCTCCATTGATGCAGGGTAATTGCTTATCGTTCAAAAAAATTATTGTAAACGGTATTCGATTTACAAGTGCGTTATATAACCGGCCCCGGAAAATTAACGACTCAATAATTGTTACTCGCGACGGTATGAAAGGCTCAATTACTAACATTTGCTGCTTTCACTTTAACCGCGAAGATGGTAGTGTTGGCAAAAAGGTCATAATTTTTCTGCGACAAATATTGGTTACTAATGAGCCGTACCTAAAATCGACGTATGTTAATGCGAACCACATACAAAGATGTTATATAAATAAAGATGGACCATTACATGCATGTGATCCCAGCTCGTTGAAAGGACAATGTATTATAATGTACGAGGGTGGTCTGAAAAGTTTCCGACCTAACAAAGATACAAGTCATTTTTTCTGGAAATTGTTTTTTTATTTTTCAATATAGTCTCCTTGTAAATCTACACACTTCTCCCAGCGATGCTCCCATCTCTGTAACCCGTCGAAATAGTACTCGGCGTTTTTCTCTGCAAAATAATTGTTCACGAAGGTGATTGCCTCTTCATTTGACGAAAATCTCTGTCCTCCGAGCGCAATTTTTAGATGAGGGAACAAAAAGAAGTCGCTTGGGGCTAGATCTGGTGAGTAAGGTGGATGGTCAAGCAGTTCAAACCGTAATTCGTGGATTTTCGCCATGGCAA